AATCTTCACAAAGCTAGGCCAAAAGCATGCTTGAACAAGGGTTAAAACCTAGATGCATGTTAAGGCTACAATATGGCATTACAAGGCATGTATGCTAAGCAAGCATGGTGTACCAAAACCAACTAAAAATAGAGGCATTTTATGACATAATAAGAATGAAAATCAGCTAAGGCATGGCCAACACACACTTAGACTAGATGTTCCCTCAAGAGGCAAAAATGGCCCTTTTCAAGGACAACAAGGAGAGGGCGTGGCCCTCTATTTCCTAGGACTTCAAGGCACCATCCTCACCTCTGAAATCCCTCAAGATTTTAGTGGTGAGGAGGCCCAAACACAGTGATCCCAGAGCTCAACCGAAATGGCACAAAACAAGGGCCAAACAAGCCTTAAGAGGGGTCAAACAACCCCAGCTTAAAACACCCTTAACAAACTATTTAGAGCACTAAAAATCAGAACTTTTATATGTTACACTAAGCTCAAAAACAGATGCAAGATAGGTAAATAAGCTATGCAAAAATGAGGAAAAAAGGGACAAAAGTCTTACCCTTGTAGACCCTCTTCACCAATGGTGAACCAGTTGGTTCTTCAAGCTCAAACCAGCTCCACGACTCCAAAAACAACCCTCAAGGGCCTCAGTTCCAAGAAAAGGTGTGATGGTGGGTGTTTGTGTGCAAAACTAAGACAAAACACACACAAAACAGAAGAGAGAGAGATATAGAGATGGAGGATATATGAACCCTAACCCTAAAACTCAAGACCCTCTGAAAATGCTGTCTAAATTGTCTAACCTCTCAACAAAAGAGAAGAGCCTCTCTTTTGTAGACCAATGGTCTTGTAAAGCTTCCAAAGGAAGCTAACAAGAGGGCAATCCCTCCATACACGTGTATGGAGGGGGTGAAAGTGTATGCCAGCTGCACAAAAATATCTGCAAAAGCAGATGCACAGTAGTCGGCCGGCCAAAAATGTAATTGATCAAAAAAAGATAGCCGGCCGGCCATCTACAGTGCCGACCGGCCAAACATTTGGCCGGTGGCAACAAAACACAGCCGGTGGCCTCAAGCCATGGCCGGTGGAGTGTGGGGATGGCTCACAAGCCATTCCCTACCCCTCCAAGGCAAAACACAAGTGTTTGGTGCAAAACCAGACACAAAACAGTCGAGTCGAGAGATCCTGAGGTAAGGCGCGTGGTCGAGACCTCCGGGAACTCAAGACGAACACAAACATGGATGATCACCGAGTGTTCAAGCGGTGACGTCCAAGTCTTGAGGACGGTCAAAAATGGGGTGTCTACAGGTATAATGTCACCTTCTATTCTTGATGTTGTCCGTTTGACTGGTCAACACATCAATGCCCTTTTAACCCCAAAAACACCTATTAAATTGGACACTACCCTCTGTTATGGGAAATTTCAAAAAAAAGTACCAAAAATTTGGCAGTGAACCCATAGATGAGGAGAGAACAGCCTTTTATTTACTATGGCTTTTCCAACACTTTTTTTGTGTTCCTGGTTTGAAAATCACTAAAGAATACCTAGCATTAGCCACTTGCATTCAGGAGGGTATAGAATTGGCTCTTGCACCCTTTTTACTAGGCACTTTATACAGAGGTCTCTTTTCTTTAGTGGACAAAGAAATTGATCATAATAGTGGTAGTCATTTCTGGCTTCTTCAAGCATGGTTGTATGCTTATTTTCCTGAAATCAGACCTACCACTCAGACTCTAATTCTTCCCACATGCCAGAGTTATGCTGAATTCTTTCTTTCCTTCAGACCAACCACCTCTAATTCTTTCACTAAGGTGTTCACTTTTCTTTATGAACTACCAATCGACAGAGATCCTTTGCTTTTTATCCCTTTTCACCAACTCCACTATACCTTATCTAGACTCACCTATGTCCATGATGATCCTTCTGTATTGGGTGATGAATTGAGACAACAACAAAAGCATTTTTGGGCCCAAATCCTTACTCCAAGATACATTTTAGTGAGAGGATCCCTTTTAACTAACAGAATTTCTAACTGTAGTTTTGAAAGTTATAATCCCTGTCAATGGGCTAGGCAAATGGGCCTCTATCAAACTGTTCCTTGCCCATACTTTCATCCCATTATTCACGAGCAAGTTGGAGCTAGAATTCAATTCAAACATCAAACAGTTGTGGAGGCTCTTCTAGTCCACAATCAAGAACTGTTTGATCAATTCAGCTTCTACTACTGCAAAATCACACCTTTTCTCTCCACAAGATTCAGAGACTGGTGGCTTCTTATGTATGCAGTAATCTTTAATAAAGAAACTCAAGTATGCCTCTGGAATGTGCATCCTGACCATAAAAAAGGAGCAACCATAAGCATTGGTAAACAACTACCTCTTTCTTACTTTATATTTCTTGTTAAAGTTTTATGGGTGTATAACAACATATATCTTTTCTACATATATGCATCTGAGTCCTCAGTCAAAGCCATCCCTTTGGCTATAGAAATGCCTACTTCCACTATCCAGAAAAGAAAACATAAGGGTAATCCCTTAAACACCACCAATGCTGAAGGTTTCACACCTTACAACCTAGGTGTGGAGACTGAACAAAGCGTGACTAGAGAAGAAGAACTTCAAAAATTCTTTGCATCTCAACCACAACCAGAAGGTTTATTTCTCAACCAACATCAGAAGGTGATGCAATACGTGAGAGGAGATCTAAAAGAAGACAAGAGGAACCAGTTCATCCACCATCTCTGGCTGTACCAACTTCTTCATCTTCCAGTGGTGCAGCACTTGTAAGAAGACCTAAAAGAAAACAAGGACAACCAGTTCTTTCACAAGCTCTTGCTGCACCGGCTTCTTCTTCTTCCAGTAGTTCATCTTCTCGTTCCATAATAGTATGAATCTTACTCAATCTGTCAATTTTATTACCATTTTAAACATGACATTCTATTTTACTTTTGCTTGTCTAACATTTTCTTCTTTCTTTTTCAGACATATCTTAAGTCACACAAAAAGAGAAGACTCGTTTCTTTAACCACCTCTTCTTCTTCTCATGGAGATATACCTGAAACTCATACCAACCTGCCTCCTCCTCTTCCTGAGAATGAAGAACTGGCTGAGGCACAAGTTAGTCCTCCTGAAAGCCAAACTGAATTGCCAGAGTCTTAACCAAACCCCATTGAGAAAGAACAAATTAACCAACGAAGAGCCATTTTAAGAAACTTGGCTCCTGAACTGGCTCAAATTTTGTTTGAAATTCCCCAAGAAGTGGCTTTAGAAGACCTAATGGCCTTCCCTTTGATAGGGGTGCCACATGGAACTGATAAAGTCATCACTTTTCCTAGTGTGGCCTCTTCTCCAAAAGAATCAACCATCCCTGAACATGCTCAAGAAGATCCAGTTAACTCAGACCCTGTCAGAGAAGCTCCAATTGACTTACCCACTAATTCTGACAGTCAAACATCTCCTATCGACAGAAGTTCTCCTATCCATGAGCATGTTTTTGAGCTAGATGACAACCTTCTAAATGGAGTTGACAGAGCTGACACTGAGGTTTTAGATGATGAATCAACCTCAAGTGATATGAGAATTCCTCAACCAACTATCATCACTTCCATTACTCAGTCACTTCCAACATAGGTAATATTTTCTCACCTATACACCTTGTTCTTATTTTCTATACATACTTAAATGTGTATGGTTTCAAAAATAATCCCCTTTCATTCTCTTATGCAAGACTGAGATGCCTTTTCAAACATCATTGACACTACTAACATGGGGGTGCAGACCACACCAGTTCAAAGTCCTTCAAGAGAGATCTTGGGTACTTCTACCTCACCTTACATTGTCACAAAGGTAATAATCTCACATATAATTTTCCATAGTCATTGTTCTTCATTTGTTAACTTTACTTTTTATAACTACAGCCTGCAGTTACCTCCTTTTCCTCTATTCAAGACTTACTCTTGGGGATTTCTGTTGTTTAAGAAACTGTTGCCAATTTGACTGTTGAAGAAAAATTGAAGCAACTATCCAATGAAGAACAAGGACTTATTGAACAATTTTTTGATTTACTTGGTCAGCCACTAGATGCCTTGGCTCTCTCTCAAACTCCAAGTTTGATTGACTGTTTGAGAGCCGTTGTACCACTGATTCCTCAACTTTTTGATCCAGACCAAGTGCAAATCTTTCAATCCTTCATTTTAGAGTTTCCTCAGTATTTACTGGCTATCAATGAATTTCAAATTGAGCCAAAAACTGTTGAGTATCAAGCTGAGCAAGTGAGGAAAGCAATGCATGCTCTAACTGAAGCATCTGCTAGATCACAATCTCTCATTGCTTATTTAACACTATTACAGCAGAAGAAGCTCAGCTAGAAACTCAACTGGCCCATGTGAGAGCTCAGAAAGCTGCCATTGAACAAGAGCAAGTCAACCTTTCTTAGCAAATTCCAAACCTTCTTGCTCAAGCAAAAAGTGATCCATTGGCTTTCAAGCAAACCCAAACCAAGCTAAGGCAAAATAAGCTAAAGCATCAGACTGCTCTTCAAGCTTGGAGCAGACTTTCAATGTATTTCCAAAGGGATTGAGCCAAATGTAAAAAACAAAAAATTTCATTATTTGCCCTTCCGTATTTTTGATACAAGTTTAATGAAAATACTTATTGCATTTGTTTTGGCTTTACTTTTCTATCACCTACCTTTGTTTTCATGTGTATAAACTCATGCATTCCCACATGGTTGGATAATACTTCTTTAAATACTTGCCATTAATTATCCTTATGTGTGGCTCACCTTCTAAAGAAGCAAGATAATAGGCTCCGCCTCTAAGAACTTTATGTATTTTAAATGGTTCCTCCCAATTTGGAGACCATTTACCATATTCTGGGCTTTTAAATCCAACTGGCAAAATGGTTTTCCACACTAATTCTCCTTCAGAAAATAATTTACTCTTAACTTTCTTGTTATAACTTCTTTCAACTTTCTTTTTCTGAGCCACCAAATGATTAAAGGCCACAATTCTTTTTCATTCTAAATCCTGCAACTCAATTGATAGTGCCTCTAAATATTCATCCATAGGAATATCCAAATGCTTGGCCAGTCGATTGGATCTTACTATCACTTCCAAAGGTAATACAGCATCATGCCCATAAACTAACTCATATGGAGTTGTACCTGTACTATTCCTTTTGGAATTTCTATAAGCCCAAAGTACTTCTGACAAGAGATTATGTCAATCTCTAGGATTGCCTTCAATCATTTTCTCTAAAGTATTTTTGACAACCTTGTTTGTTGCCTCAGCTTGTCCATTTGCCTGGGGCATAATATGGTGAAGAGTTTAATATCTGAATGCCATATTCTTTGGCAAACTCTTTAATTTCATCCCTATTGATCACTATACCTTGATCGACAGTGATAGATTGGGGTAAACCAAACCTATGTATCAAATTCTTTTTCAAGAATTCAATAACTTGGACCTGGGTTACCACTTTTAAAGGTATTGCCTCTACCCATTTAGTAAAATAGTCAGTGGCTACCAATAAGTAAGAATGTGCTTTAGAAGATACTGGGAAAATTTGCCCAATTAAATCCATTACCCATCCTTTAAAAGGCCAAGGTTTAACCACTGAATGCAGGCTGGTAGCTGGCACCCTTTGAATATTGCCATGCTTCTGGTAACTCTGACATCCTTTTGCATACATTATGCAATCTTTTCTAATGGATGGCCAAAAATATCCATACCTGTTAATCAGCCATCTCATTTTATCACCAACTTGATGGGCCCCACAAATTCCGTCATGTGCTTCAGCCATAGCTTTCATTTGGTCTAATTTACCAATACAAAGCAGAGTCAAACCATCATGAGCTTTCCTAAACAAATCATCTCCCATGAAAACATAGTTTAAGGCTTGAAACCTCACCTGCTTATTGCCTTTTTCATTAGGATTCGATAGGTACTTTATTAAAGGGAATCTTCAATCTTCTTCTGTCACATCCAAAGTGAGAATAGGTAGGAAGTTCCTACACCTATTTTTAAGTGCAAAAAAGTTTCTTTTCTGAATTCAAATCACCCTTTCCTGAGCTCCTTTAGGTATTTTTAGTCCAGAAGCTGCTTGAGCCATTTCATTAGCCTCTTTATTCTCCAGTCTAAACCTATGTGTGAATGTGATATGGTCAAAGAAACTAGTTAACCATTTGACCTCAGTTAAATACTCTTCCAGAGCACCACTGACACATTTAAATTCTCCCAAAAGTTGTTTAATGACTAATTGGGAATCTCCAAAAACCAGGAGGCTTCTAATCCTGAACTCTATGGCTAATTCTAGGCCAATTATCAAGGCTTCATTGATTACAAGACTGTACATGTTGTGCTTCCAACTGATATGCGAATTGATACATTTGCTTATTTAGTGCAATCAACACAATACCTGCTCCAACTCCTTCATCTATTTTTGAACCATCAAACATCGATTTCCATGGTTCACTTTCCACCAAATTGACCTCATATAGGTCTAAATCGACAGAAGTGTCAGGATGTTTCATCAAGAAATCAGCCAAAGATTGCCCATTGACTGCTTTTTATGGCACATACTTGAGACAATACTCCATTAATGATACTATCCATTTACCCTGTCTCCCCCTTAAAATTGGTTTAGACAACATATATTTACTAACATCTGTCTGTGCTATCACAAATACTTCTATTGGCAGTAAATAATGCCTCAATTTAATGGCTGCAAAATAAAGTGTCAGACACAATTTCTCAACAGAATTATATCTAGTTCCAGCATCATTTAACCTTCTACTTGGGTAGTAAATAGCTTGTTCATGGCCTATATCATTCTCTTGAGCCAATAAACAACCAATCGACAGGTCAAAAGCTGATATATACAATTTCAAAGGCTTTCCTGCCACTGGTGGCATAAGCACTAGAGGATTTATCAAGTATTTTTTGAGCAAGTCAAAAGCTTCTTGATGGCACACTTCCCACTTAAACTCGTGGTCTGACTTAATTTTCACTAATGGAGAGAATGCTAAAGTTTTCTTGGCCAAATTAGCTATGAATCTCCTCAAAACATTTACTTTTCCAAGAAAACTTTGCAACTCTTTCTTGTTGGCTGGAGGTCTTGCCCCCAAAATGGCTTTGGCTTTATTAGCATCCACTTCTATTCCTTTGTGATGTACTAAAAAGCCTAAGAAATTTTCAGCATATACTCCAAATGCACACTTTAAAAGGTTCATTTTGAGTTTGTATGTCCTCATTCTTTGAAATGTCCGCTGCAAATGTTCTAGATGCTCACCAAAACTGTCAGATTTGATGGCTACATCATCTATATAAACTTTTAAATATTTTCCAATCAAATCATGGAAAATGAAGTTCATTGCCCTTTAATAAGTTGCTCATGCATTCTTTAATCCAAAAGGCATGACTACTTATTCAAATGTCCCTAAGGCACCAAGATATCTAAATGCTGTCTTTTGTGTATCCTCTGGGTTAATAAAGATCTGATTATACCCAGCATGTCCATCCATAAAAGACAAAACCTTCCTCTTGGCTGCTGAATCAACTAACAGATCAGCCACTGGCATAGGAAATTCATCTTTAGGAGTTGCTAGATTCAAATTTCTAAAATCTATACACACTCTTAACTTACCATTTTTCTTCATTACAGAGACAATATTAGATAGTCATTCAACATACCTGGCTATTCTAATAAAACCTGCACTGAGTAACCTTTCGATTTCTTCCTTAACCAATAAGGTAACTTCATTAGTCATCCTTCTTGGAGGTTGTTTATGAGGAATAAAATTTGCTTTAATTGGGAGTCTATGCTCCACCAATGTTCTATCTAATCCAGGCATCTCTTCATACGTCCATGCAAAGCAATCCACATACTCAGAAAGCAAACTAACTAGTTTGCTCTTACATTCATTAAATAGATTAGCATTTACATAGATGAGCCTCTTACAGGCCTTACTTCCTAAGTTATATTCCTCTAAAGGGTCCTGCACGTCTGCCTTGAGATCATCAAGTTTGGCAGGGGCTGCCTTCAAATATTCCAGTTGCACCTCTTTATAACTCAGAAGGCTATCGTCGATTACACATTTTGCCCAAGAACAATTAGGCAAACACTTAGGACTAAACTTACTTTCTAAAAAGAAATAAAAAAGCCTAGAAAAAGTAGATTTAATTACATCAGTTGTCTCATCCAGCTTGTCTTCTTCTATTGCTTGCACTTGCATCACCTCGGATCTTCAGCAATTTCCTTTGTCACAAGCCTCTTTTGCTTCTGCATCAGGCTTGGTTTGGCTAATTCCTGGCCTATCTGCTTGAAACCTTCCTCAATGAAGGCCTTGAACCCTTCAGTTGTTAAGCCTTTCCCTTGTGATTTGACTTCTTCTTTATCAATCACAACTGGACCCAAATCCTCATCATACAGCACAGCCTTTATGTTGTTGACATCAGCAACAAAAGGATTTGCTTCAGCCCAGAAGATTTCCATTCCTTTTTTATTCTGACCACCACTAGTTAGAAAAATTAATGCTTGGTGTAGAGACGAAGGTACACACTCATTAAGGTGAATCCAATCCCTACCTAGGAGCACATTGTAATTACAAGTGGAGTCTATTACAAAGGAAGTTGTTCCCATTAACCTGGAACCAACTTGAAGTTGTAAAGCTACTACTCCTTTAGCCTCAAATGATCCACCAGAAAAATTACTTATATTTACCTCAGTAGGAAGTAGGACATCGACAGACTTACCAATAGCTTTCAGTGTCCTAGATAAGAGAATATTGACAATAGCCTCATTGTCTACTGACACCTTTTCCACTAGTACCCCATCTCGAAAAGCTTTAACATGCAGAGGCCTCAGATGTTTAATAAGCTTATCTTCTGGCTTTTGAAGTACAACTTTCTCCCCATCGACAAACTTAATGACCTCGATTGATCTCAATGGCTTGGTCTGTGTCTCAACTATTGCTATCTGAACAGTTGGTTCTATCAAATCTTTAACATCACCTGCCAAGTTATCTGGCTGGTTTGGTTTGGCTTGAAACCTCTGTGGGATGGGCATGATCATATTACACTCCTTGGAAGGTGGTAGAGAACCAAAATGAATGACAGCCAACTTTTCTCCAAAGTCACCACCAGAACTATCTGATTTCAACTCATCTTCTTTAACCCTTTCATTAACATCCTTGTTATCAATGACTATCTCCTGATCTTGATCATCTTTCATTACCATATCTTTTTTGTTATTGTTATCCTCTTCATCAGACATTAGATCTTTTTCTAACTGTTTCAGCTTTTGTCTTAACAAAGCCTTCTCTGAAAGCTTACCCACAGGTCTATCTTTAGTCTCTTCTAGTCCCATTTTCCTTTTCAAAATCTGAACTGGTTGCACTGGATGAGTCTTAGAAGTTAACCCTTTCGCCTCTTTTCCTTTAGCAGCAAGAACTGCAGGAACCAATCCTTCCCTTGTCCATACTAAATCTTGTTTTCTAGATGGTTTGTCCCCTGCAGCAGTGGACATCATAGCATGAAACCTTCTTTGCTCTCTCATTTTCTGAGTTCTTGTTTCACCCATTGGTCTCCAACCACTCATGGAAAAATTTGGATGTGACACTCCCTGCCATCCCAAATGGGATGGTATTGGAGGTTTCACCATTCTTGGATGGACTAGTTGTATTTCTGGCCTTACTCTTGGGTCATGATGTTGCTGCTGATATCCTCCAGATGGTCTTGCCAATTGTTGATGCCCTCCATATGGCCTTCCAAGTTGTTGATGGCCACTATGTGATGCACCAAATTGCTACTGATGGCCATTATATGGCCTAGTCAGAACCTTAGGGTTTCCATAAGGCTTAGAACCCTTATGTTGATTGAGCATAGTCCTCACATTCCGAGCTCTAACCAAGCATGGATGAACAGGTCTCCTTGGAATAAGAATGGAGCATCATCCTTACCATAGTCCTTTGCAGGTCCAAAAATTCCAGGAATTGTTGATGCCCTCCATATGGCCTTCCAAGTTGTTGATGGCCACTATGTGATGCACCAAATTGCTACTGATGGCCATTATATGGCCTAGTCAGAACCTTTGGGTTTCCATAAGGCTTAGAACCCTTATGTTGATTGAGCATAGTCCTCACATTCCGAGCTCTAACCAAGCATGGATGAACAGGTCTCCCTGGAATAAGAATGGAGCATCATCCTTACCATAGTCCTTTGTAGGTCCAAAAATTCCAGGATCTGTTCCATCATAGAACAAACAATCGTTATCAAAAATTTGTAAATCTCTACTTCCCATAGTATTAAACCTCAGGCCAACATCTTTTCCAATTTGTTGAATCCCATTAATCACAATGGCCTTAGTTTTTTCTTTCTCAAAACCACATTTGAAACAGATAAAACTCTCAGTTGGTTCTTTTTGAACTCTTTTTCCTTTTGCTTCTTTTGCCATTTCTCCATCCTTTCCTTGTGAAGTTTTTCCAACTCCACCAACAAAACTCCAGGATTTTTCCCTTTTTTCTTCTGATCAGTAACCACCATATTGATTTCCACCACACTAGGAAATGGATCACTGTCAACTTCCATTACACCTTTATCTTTCTCGGCGTATTTTAACTTTCCTTTCTGAATTAAATCCTGCACACAATTGCGAAATGTAACATAGTTATTAGTAGAATGTCTGAAAGAATTATGTCATTTGCAATATTCCTTGCCAACTATGTCCCTTTCTTTAGGAATGTTATGGCCTGGAGTTAAAGTTAAAAACTTATTTGTTAGCAACTCATCAAACAATGCATCTGCTTTAGACAAATCAAAAGAATATTGTCTATGTGATATAGCCATATTTTTTTTGGCTGGTTGTGTTGCTGGCATGCCTACAAGTTGGTCTGTTTTTCTTAATGTCTCACAAACCACAGGTTTTTTAGCTATTACTTGGGCAACATCTATGTCAACTTCCATGTCAAATTCAACTTCTTGATAATAAGTGCCTAATGAAGCTGCATTTCTATGTTGTTCTTCTCTGAGAATGGCCTCATAACTAGTTGCCCTTGAAGACAACTCGAATAAATCCCTAAACATCATGCCTTCAAATTTTTTCCTAAGCTCAAAATCTAAACCATTTTGAGCTAATCTTATTATTTCTATTTCAGGCATGTATACATGACAGCGGTTTTTTGCTTTTTTAAACCTGTCGATGTACTGTTCTGCACTTTCTCCTTGTCTTTGTTTAAATTTTGACAAGTCCACCATTGTCACTTCAGGTTCAATTCTAAAGAACTGAGCATGAAACTGATTTTCCATGTCTTGCCAAGTGTGAATAGAGTTCTCTGGCAAGTTAATACACCAAGTAAATGCCACTTTCAACAAAGAATGAGGAAAGAGCTTTAACTTTAAATTATCATCATAACCAGGTTATCCACACTGGGGTATGAATCTGCCCACATGTTTTATGGTTGATTGTCTTTTCTCTCCTGTGAATAAAGTAAACTCAGGAATTCTGTAATTCCTTGGAATGGGAATTGTTTCCATTCATGGAGGGTAAGGACTCCTAAGCATTGGTCTATCTGGCCTACTTAAGCCTGGACCATACATTTCCTGTATGATGTTCATTATTTGTTGTCTGTTAACTTGAGGCTCTAAGTGTTGCTGTTGTTTCCCTCCTCTTTCAACCTCCGGTTGGAAGTAACGATTAGGAGGACTAGGCCCTCTAGGCCTTGGATGCATCATGTAGGGTTCAAAATATGGCTAAGGTGTGGTATAATCCCTTGCATCTTGAGGCCTTACTTGATTAAATGGCCTATTTCTTTGTTCTGCCATAACCTAATAACCAGGCCCTTCAAATGCAAGATTATCATACATTTGTGGCCTTAGTTGCCCCCCAGGTCTCATTCCCATATTATTTACATTGTAATTAAACATTGGATTTGTATGATATATGGAAGGTTCCCTCTCAAACATTGGATTTATGTTCATTCCCTCCTCATATCTCTCTTGGAGTGTGGGAGGTCTATAAAATGATACGGGTTCACTTACTTTTTCATGCTGTTGAGAGGCCATTTGGGGCTTAGGTTGTGCTCTTTTCCCTTGTGCTTTCTCTCCAATCTTTCTTGATTGATTAGGCTTGATGTTGGCTTTCTCAAACAAAGCCATTAAGTCATCAATCATCACTTGGTTCTCATATGCTGACATGGAACCAATTGCTTGCTGGGTATGTAGCAAAAGAGCCCTTCTTGAATCGACTGGTGGACAACTGGATTGGCCAATTTTGGCCATATTTTGGTCATTTCCTTGGCCTATTTCTTGCCTAGCCACTGAATGGCCATCAGTTAAGTTGTCTTGTACTCCTTCAACTCCATCATTCAACTCTTCT